ACGTCTGAAGTAGGTCTCATGGGGCTAAACATCAAAGGCTGTATTCCGTCTGGAGACTCCAGGTGCACATCCCTGCCTTTTCCAGCTTCTAGAGGACTCCTGTTCTCCTCGGCTCAGGGCCACTTCTCCTCCATCTTCAAAGGGCATCACCCCAACTCCTGCTTCTGTCAGCAGGTGTCTGTCAGCTTCTGACCCTCCTGCCTCCCTCTCAGAGGGTCCTGGCAGCTGCACTGATCCCACCCAGATAATCCAGGATAATCCTGCATCTCGAGATCCTTAACTTAATCACATCTGCATAATCCCCCCTTTTCATATAAAGCAACATATTCAGTAGGTTCTGGGGATAGGGGCTGGACATCTTTGGGGAGGGGCATTATTCAGCCCACCACACCTCCTCACAACTTAACTGAAATTTTGCCATTTGAGAGACATTCTTGGGTTTTGAATTGTGTATGTTCAAGAGTCCTTTTGAAAACGCACACACTCCTGGTCAAGGTGGCGCCCGGAGTACTTGAGAGTGCCCTGGCCTGCCCTTCAGTCCCCTCTGCCCTGCACGCTATCCAGCGAGGCTGAATAGGCTGGTTTATTATGGAGGCCCAGGTGAGATGCCCCCACCCTGGTCCTAAAAGCCATGAGAAAACTAGGAAAGTAAGATCATAAGATTACATTAATGAACTCATCGCTTAACTGATACGAACGGAGATGCCCAGGGTCATCTTCAGGAGATAAAATGGCTCTCAGAGCAGGAAGAAGAGCTCAGTGTAATCAGATCACAGGAATTATTCCGCCATGTGTCAAGCATAGCAAGGTGGCCTGGCAAGAAAGCACGGGCAAGAGGAGGCTCGGGGCTTGCAGGCCCACGTGCCAGGGACCTCTGCCTGTCCAGATCCTCTCTCCACCTTCTCTGCCTTGCTCTGTGGTCTGAGAGGCTGGCCCCTACCAACAGCATCAAGCCCTCTGGCTTCCAGTGTGTTCAGCCAACGAGAAGTACAAGCAGGATCAGAGGACAGCTGGGGAGAGAGGCCAGAGTACTTCTTCCCCTGGTCCCCTCCCTGACAGACTGTTTTGACAATGTCTGTAACCTCTACCAAAGGCCAGGGATCCTGAGGAAGTGCCCTCGCTCGGAGCTACAGCTTTCCAGATTCGATAACTGCTTCTTCCTTTTGTCCTGGAGACGGTAATCACTCTCAGGGTTGTTGGACTGGGACTGGCGGGGGGTGATCCATTCTCCCTTGCCAGTTTTGAAATAGAAAAGAACCCCTTCTTTAAACTCTCTCTACAATCACTGCTCCCTTTTGAGTGTATCGATTACTTCCTTCCTGGAGCTAGTCCGATACCTGCCATACCCTAGCACTGTCCAGAAGAGAGTATGCCTAGTTTGATGGGGGCATGCGCCTTGCCATTGTGGAGGTGAGAGCCGCAGACCTTAGCACCCAATGCCATTAAACTCTGGTCTTCTCACCTAACTCCCCCTGCACTGTTTCCAGGAGCCCTGAACAACCAGTTGCTACCTGATTCTCCAAGTAGCTCCTCACCCCTCAAGAGAGAAGGCTCTGCTCAGCTTAGCAGGTTTATGTCTTTTTTTTTTAATCCTCACCCGAGGACATTTTTCCATTTTTTGTTCAGGTAGAGTGGGAGGGAGAGAGAGGAACAGAGAGAGAGAAACATCGAAAGGAATACATGGAGTGGCTGCCACCCGCACAACCGACCAGGGCCGGGGACAAACTGCAACCGAGGTTCGCGCCCTTAGCGGAAACCGAACCCGGGTCTCTCCGGACCGCAGGCCGACGCTCCAACCGCTGAGCCAAACCGGCCAGAGCGCAGGTTTATGTCTTATTGTGCATTTATAAATTGGATTTTATTGTTTGTGTTCTTTCTTTGAGCTTTGTTATTATGAGTCACCTTTGCTGTGTCTGGTCAAACTTGGGGCGTTTGAGAAGACAGAGGGTCTGGACTAGCAAGGCTGGGAACAAACCAGATGTTGGACCGTAGTGAATGCCCCAAGGTAAATGCCACCTTGCAAGGCTGCCTGGTGGTCAGGCACTCTGGCATCTCCTGCAATATCTGTCTCAGCACACACCTGTGTTCAGACTTCTACAGCCTTTAATATCCTCCACTAGGCTAATATTTTATGATCCTCCCACAGGCTCTTATCAGCTAACACCTTGCATGGATTATGACAGCTAGCTCAGAGCAGGAATACAGAGAAATGGGATGCAGCTCAGTGCTTGAAGAGGGAGGGGTGGAGGAGGAGGAGAGGTGGGGTGAATCTGAGGCAGGCAGAGGCTGACAATAAAGGCAGCCAATTTGACTTGCTTTACTTCTTTATAGCTGTCCCCTGCTGTACTCCACCCCTGTCCCCTCTGTGGGTCCATGTTCTAGTCATGGCTCGACCAGTAACTACCTGTGCAACACTTATCTTCTCCAGATAACTTTTTCTTCAACTGAAAAAGGAATGTTAGAATCCATGGGTCTATTCTACATACATTTAGCATGTTATATTCAATAATTCTTTTTACAAGTCTATCTCAGTAGCGTTTAATTGGGAAGTTGAGATTCTATTTGACAGTGGGTTCTTTAGACTTCAGGTTCTGAGCACAGAAGATCAAATGAATTTAGGCTTGAAATCCAGCTCCATTACTTACTGTGTGACCCTGAACAAGTGATTTAACCTCTCTGAGCCTTAAATTTCTCATCTGTAAAACAAGTATAATGCTTCCCCCTTGCATAACTGTAAGGATTATTGAGCTAACGTATAGGTACCCCAGACATTGTTGTAATGTGTCAGCGAGATAACCAGAGACACAGTCGAATTGTAAAGGAGCACGTCATTACATCGGCAGGCTGGGGGGTGGGGTACAACTTCCCCAGATCCGCAGCCTTGATTCTTCTTGCTCATTTGATTTTAAAGACAGAAGCCCCATCCCCCTTTTGCCCCCCCCCCCCCAGGGACTGGTACAATAGTGGATATGACAGTGATTACAGAAGTCAAATTAGCATTATTCACTGGGCTCATGTGGGGCAACTATAACCTTAGGTAAAATTCCTTTACTTCTAGGGGTAATTAACCTATTATTGGAAAAATATTGAGGAAGGTCCATTGATGATAAAATATAGAGTCACTTAGTTGCCTTAGCCAAAGGGCCCAGGTCATTCCCCATTGGTTTTCCTGACAAGTCAAACTGTTGACTTGACTTAGTTTTTTACGAGGCCGCTTATTAGACATGGCCCAAAGGCTAGGATTTAACATAATATAGCGAGAGGGTCAGGAACGGCGGATAATAGAATTGTAAACCAATTTTCAGATTGTTGCCTTCTTCTTTCTTGTTCCTTGATATTTTTCCTAACTAATGATAAACTTGCTTGAATAATCCCCGAATTATTTGCATAAAAACAGCATTTTTCTCCCAGTGCAACACATAATCCTCCTTCCTTAAGAAATATGAGGTCTAATCCTCTCCTGTTCTGTAGGACCATTTCCAAGTTCCCAGTTCCACTGGGGCCCAGGTCTATAAGGATTCCCTGTACAGTCATAACCAGAAAAATCTGAGTCCCGATAAATGCAAGAGTCTTATCTGGAGTGGCCTGAACCACCCATTTTGCTTTTTCCCCTTCAGCCAGAAATGGTGCTGCCAGATCAGGATGCCATTGGCTCAGGCAGGATGACAGTGTATAGTCCCTTCCAGGCCGGAGTTAATCCCTGGGTGGTGAACTTCTTTACCCTTATCGAGTCCGAGGTGGGCACAGGCAGGGCGTCGCAGACGTGTTTATGGACAGCTTTCTGGGTGAACTACAGGGCCTGCAAGAACTATAAGAAGGCGAGGAGGAGGAGAGTGGTCCAGTTTTCACCAGTTTCTAAAGTAAATTTGGTTAAGGTTTCCTTTAAGGTTCTGTTCATGTGCTCTATCTGCCCGGAACTCTGTGGGCGGTAAGCACAGTGGAGTTTCCAATTTATATCTAACCCTTTAGAGATATCCTGTCATTTCTTTGCTATAAAGGCAGGGCCATTGTCTGATCCAAGGGCCAGTAGTAGCCTAAACCTGTTACTTCTTCTACTACATCCCAGACTGTTATCCCATTACCAGGGGCAGGCTCTCCCTCTGTCAGTGGTCTATTTCCTTCCCTTCTTGAGTATTCCTCCACTGTCCTGTCTTCCTGTAATAGTATGTCCCTTTCTTTTATCCTCTTATCTTTTTATTTCCTCTGCATAATCCTTTTTTTTATTCCCTCTACAAAATCCTTCTTTAACTTGCAGAGACCCTCTGCGACTTTCCTGGTCCTTCCCCTGACATTAACCTGAGAGCTTGCTCAGTCTACCTGCTGTCTGCACATCCCCCAGTTTTTCTTCTCCTCCTCCCTACTCAGACCCACATATTCCTGCTTCCCTCTGCCTTCTCCCTTTCCCTGTAACCTTACTGGACATTGCCTGCCTCTCAGGAGTTTAATAAGCTTGGTGTAACCTAAGTGGGTAGTCTGGTGCAGCTGGTTAACTAAAGTCTGACCTAGAGCCTCTGGGACCAGCCATCTCCTATCAGGCAGAGTCCATCACCTGTTTGGTTCTTGGGTGGCTTGCTTCTGTTCAACCAAGCCATTTTCTGACCTAGTGTATTTGGAGAGGCCCCACTGGTTTTAGGGCTACTTCTCAAGCTTTCTAAGCTTTCTGATCTGCAGCAGATTCTCCCATGCCCCATCAGAGAGCCCGGATTAGGGGGCTATGAGTTCAGCCCATTGGGCTGAAGTTCCCCTATTCAAGGGCTGTGACAAGATGACACAGTCCAGAGTCACTACTGCTGCCCCAGCATACCTGATTTCTTCCTGGTCATAGCTGCTCCAGTCTGTGAACAATACCTCATTTGATGATGGCAGTGGGACATCCTTGAGGTCTGGGTGCGCCATCTGCACTATGTCGATTACCTCCAGGCAGTCCTGTAGAGGTTTCTCCTGGTCATCATCTGGAGGCAGGCTGGCAGGATTGATGGCCACCGTCTTGTGGAACTTGATGTGGGGCTGGCCTGGAGTGGCAGTGGCCAGCAATTGAACAATCAATGGACAAGATCACATCCGAGTAGGGGGTATGGTCACTCTGGCATGACCAGAAACAAATAAGTCACAGTATTTTTCCCAAAGTCTATAGTCCTCTTTGAAGTCCAGGGGTAGGTTAGGGGCCCATTGGCTCGGTCAGGACTGAGTCTGCTGCACATTATCTACCAGGAAACTAACTAGTCTGTCCTCTATTGTCCAAGTCAAGGATGGCTTTTTACTTTGTTCTTCTACACCTGATTTTGCCCTTGTCTTTTCTATCCTTAATCTGGACCTAAGCCTGCCATCCTGACCCTTCCTAGGGTGAGCCTTCTCCATGGGCCCTGTTTCCCTTAAGACTGCTATTATTACCTTTGCTATTCTTTTATCTTGTTTTTCCCCAGGGATGTCACTATTATTATATACCTTTTGAGCTATTTCAACCAATTGGGCTATAGGCTTCACAGGAGAACAGGGTGAAAAGTTTCCAAGGAAGCCCTCCCCCCAGCAGTATTTGGGTCCCACCATAGGCAAAGTGATGAAAAAGTTTCCCGACCCCAGGTTTTTAACCGCTGAACCAAACTGGCCAGGGCCCGACCCCAGGTTTTTAAAAGGACGCAGGAAAGGGGGGCGTCATCCTAGTGCACATGTTTACACGGGGCAGTGTTGTTGTTTTTCTCTCTCCAAGAGCACTTCGCACCTGCACCTGGGATCCCTATTTTCAACTCCCCAAAGTTCAAAGAAGCCTGTTGGAAACTTGCTGCTGCCAAACCCAGGGCAGCAGACAGACGAGCCACCTGGGCTGGCACTGAAGGGACATGCCCCTTCCATGGCCTGACCACTCTTCCCAGGAAACCCTGTGGCCTCCGAGTGAGTGCCTGTGTGCCCACCCGCTGCCTACCACCCGTTTCCCAGATGAGGGGCTCTCCACACCAGACCCCAGTCCCGATGCAGAGCCATGCGGGACGCACAGGGTAGCTCATGGCAGGGATGGCCCCTGAACCACTTATTACTCTGTTAACTGCTTGTAGCAAACGAGCTACAAAATCTTGATATGGCTCTTCAGGTCGTTGTCTGATGGATGTAAGATTGAGCAATTTTTTTTCTTTTGTTGGGAGCTCTTTCCAGGCCTTCAAAGCACAAATATTATTCACAGTTGTAGTGGAAGACAGTGGGGGAGTCCTTAAGGACTCATAGCCTTTCTTGGCTTTCCTCAAGTCTTCCACTACACTTTGCTTCCCCACCTTACTAGCCTCCTGCACAGATTCAAGGCAATCTCTAATTAGGGCCCAACGAGTAAATATTTGCACCAGAAACTTGTTTGAGCCTTTTGCTGTATCTCTGCTTTGCAGGAACTTCCCTACCTTTTCCCAGGTTTCTCTTGGGGCCCAATTTGGGGCCCACTACCAGTATTTGTGCCCTAATCAGAATCTTCCTCAAATCCTTCTCTAAAAATGTTTCAATATGCAACCCAATGAGGTCTTCTGGGCACTAGGGCTGCTACCCATGATTAGACTAACCAACGCAAAGTTGAGGGAGACACAGTAGGGAGGCAGACAAGGACAAAAAACAAGGGAAGACACACAAGACAGAAACTTCCACTTCGTCCACCTGGCCGCTCCCCTCACGGAGATTTCAGACAGCTCTTGGCATGTGGCAGGTTGGAATAAGCCCCCAACTCGAATCAGGTTTGCTGGTGGACACACACAATTACATTCACACAGTCACACTCACACACCATTTGAATTTCCTTCCAGAAATTCCCTATCCTGAGTGGCTCCTATGCCGCTTGGGAAGTGATCAGTCTCTCCCCTTCCGCCCCAGTGGCGGGACTGAATGAACAGAATTTGCCAGATTTGAACCAGAATTTTCCAGATTTGAACCCCACCTACTGTCTTAGGGGGATTCCCAGGAGAGGAGAGGCTGCACCCCATCCAGCCCTCTCACTCTCATCCAGATAGACGGGTCACCCAAAACTCATCTCCAGAAGCTTTTACCAGGTCTCCTTTCATCTTTTTGGGGACGTCTTGGCGTCTCCTGCCCACTCGTGGGAAACCCAAGTAGGATCTTTGGGGCCCTGGAACTCAAGGGCACCTCCCCTCGACCTACAGGTTTCTGGCAGCCAGATCGGGAGAGGCTGCCCATCCTAGGCATCTAGTCCTTGGTGTTGCAAACCACCAGGGATCTCGCTGGGGCCTCCAAATGTTGTAACATGTCAGCAAGATAACCAGAGACGCACAGTGAAATTGTAAAGGAGCATTTCGTTACACCAGCGAGCTGGAGCGGGGGGTACAACTTGCCCAGATCCTCAGCCCCAATTCTTCTTGATTCTTCTTGCTTGTTCGATTTTAAAGACAGAAGTCCCAGCGATTACAGAAGTCAAAATTAGCATTATTCACTGGGCTCATGATTTGCAGTTTCTGATACTCAGAAACTGAAAATACCTCCCAACATGTGGGGCAACCTTAGGCAGAATTTCTTTACTTCTAGGAGTAATTAACCTATTATTGGAAAAATATAAAGGAAGGTCCATTGATGATAAAAATGGAGTCATTTAGTTGCCTTAGCCAAGGGGCCCAGGTCAACATAAGCCAGGATTTTGTTTTCTTTCTTTTTTTTTCTTTTCTCTTTATTGATTTTAGAGTGAGAGGAAGGGAGAGGGAGAGAGAAACATCAATGAGAGAGAACATCAATTGGCCACCTCCTACATGCTCCCCACTGGGGATTGGGCCCAACCCGGGCATGTGCCCTGACCGGGAATTGAACCTGCAGTCTCCTGGTGCATGGGGTCGATGCTCAACCACTGAGCCACACCGGCTGGGAATAAGCCAGGATTTCATATCACCCAGTCTCCGTATGAAGTTACATTTGAAGAGGACAGCTCTAAAATCAAATGTAATTTATAGCTTTCTAATCTTATTAGCATCACTCAAAGAACATAAAAGGGGATCCAATTTATAAATCATAGCAACATTTTTTTAAATATCTTTTTCTCTTCTGCTCCATTCCTCTACACCCCCACCCACCCACTGCTCCAGAATCTCAATTCTAGAAATCTCACAAAACTCTCCCCAACACTAGACTTGCCAGATTTAGCAAAACAAAACAAAAACAACAGAAAGAATGCCCAGTTACATTTGACTTTCAGATACATGACAAGTCATGTTTTTCAGTATAAATATTTCCCATGCAATATTTGGGACATATTTGTTGTTTATCTGAAATGCAAATGCAACTGGTGTCCTGTATTTTATCTGGAAGCCCTATCTAACACCCAACCCACATCTTTTTTCTCTGCTTTCCTTCTTCTCCAATCCATATTTGTTATGTAGGCTGACTTGGCTCACGAAATACGTTTCTCTCTCTTCATTTGGTAACTGTCATGTACACTTTGCCCAGCACCGTCATTCTCCACAACAAAGGAGAGCTTCAGAGCTGGCCCAGCAGGAAAAATCGTCCTTCCCTGCCTCTCCCATCTTTCCTCTCTAAAACTCATCCCCTGACTCTAGCTTTAAAAGCTCAGTAGCCAGGAAAACCTGAGAGGGCAGGAGAGAAGAAGCTACTGAGCAAAGACTAAATTTTTGTTAGTGTGAGGGAGTGAAGGCATGGCTCTCACGTGTTAACAAATAAGGTACTTCGCCCAGGGTCTGGATATAGTAAACACAGAACTCCTGCTCTTTCTGCTGCTCCCCCTCCTCATCACTGTTAGGTAGACATGCTTGCCCAACCTCCCAGCCCCAATCCAAGGTCTCATTCCTTAACACTCCAGAGAGCTTACAAGCCTCAAAGAGGTCTGCCCACACTGCTGCTCCCACAGAGTTGCCATGTTGGCCACAAGCCCCTAGGGTCAGGATCCACACCCACCCAGTCCCCTCCACGCCAAGAATATCCAGCTCCATTACTGGGAAGCCCCAAATAATCACATCACTGTTCACCGCGTCACACGATCCGCTCTCCTGGCCACCTAGGAAGTTTAAGATTTGCAAAGGCCCCGGTGAGCCAGGGGCCCCTTCCAGGACAGTGGCCTCCCGTTCTCTTTAAAGATGCTGCAGCCCCACCGCAGGCGGTAATATTCCTCCATCCAGGCCACCTGAGGGGGTTAAATTCCCATTACAAAAACAAAGCCCACTGAACTGGAAGAGAGTTGGTCCTGAGAGCCAGCAAGAACCTTGCCTCATTCCCAAAGGGGTGCCGGGTCCATTAAAGCTTTTCACAGCTGATTGCTCACCTGTTCTTCATTTTCCACTTCGATCGGTACACTAAACAGTGTCCTGGAGAGAAGGACCCTGCAGAACAAACCAACAAAATTGAACATTTCCCCCCAATCCTCTTTGAGGCAGACCCTCCAGGCTGACTAGATGCGGAGATGCAGCTTCATTTCTTTCCCTCTTTTCTTCTAAGAATGGGAATTCAATCTGGGACAAACAAGACCCGGGGCTTTAAAAACAAAAACAAAAGGCACCACATTCATTTCCCTGTATAACTATCAAGGGGTTTCTCTATGGTTCTTTCTTCCTGTATCATGGCTACTTCCCAAAAAGCATCATATGAGAAACAGAATAAAAAGAAAAGACTAAAAAATAGGCTCAGTGAGATGAGACACTTCCTAATTTCAATTCATTTCAACCAACATTTGCTCTGTGGGACCAAACCACAGTGGGATACAAAGTAGGGGAAAGCCTGCACCTGGGGCCCACAGCTTCGTGAGCGCCTCAGCGGAAGTAACAGACCAGGCCAGGAAGTAACACAGACCAGGCCAGGAAGTAACACAGACCAGGCCACCCCGCCATCGCAGGGCGCAGCGGTGAGCACCGGGGGCAGGGCAGGGTCAAGAGCTGGATTTAAGGTCTCAAGAAGAGGGCCAGTGTCGTGTGTGCTTTGTAATTGTATGTGTTTGTTTCTTTTGTTTTGCTTTTAGTTTCTCTCGCTTTCTATTCCCCCACTCCTTTATCATCGCCTTCATCCTCCAGGCTACTGGGATGGCCGGACTTGATTTTCACAATCCAAACTCAACATTTTCTCCCACCTCTGCCTCGAGGAAACAGACCACTTTGTCTTTCTGTTTATAAGAGGCGCAGCATGCAATATATATGAATTCCGAACTGAGTATTCATTATGGTCAGCATTGGGAAAATGGCCGTGGAAAACAGCCATGAGCAGAATGCCTAGACCCCACCTTCACGGAGCTTAGAGAGTAGTGGTAGAGCATCGAGTTAGGGCTTTAAATGCACGTACTTTGGAGTTGAAAACAGCTGGGTTGTCTCACCATTCTTGAGACGGTAAGCCAATTAAATTCTCTGTGACTCAATCTGCTGAAATGTACAATGGGAACAATACCCAACTCACAGGCTGGGCCTGAGGTTGAAATGAATGTGCTAAGTGCTTCGGCAAGTCAGCACCTACTACTAGCGTTAGTGGTGGGACTCTAGAGCCACGCCTTTGGGCACCTAATGGTAATACTGACATTACTGTGCTTCGCTGTCCTCAAATTGTTTCACGTGTCTATTTCATTTTACCAACCACATTATAAGCTTCTTGAGGGCATGACAAAACTAAGCATATGAGAAATTCAACAAATAGCTGTTGAGTTTAGGTTGCAGAGAATGAAAATATTTTCTGCAAAGCCACTGAGTTTTCCCTTTGAGGAAACAGCAAAGGGGGTCAGAGAATTTCCATGGCTGAAATGCCCAATGCACACGTTTGCTCAGCCAATAGGGCAGAGGGAAAGGTAAAGTGGATTCGAATTGGGCTGTGACAGCCTCCTGTGACAGATAGCCTGCGGAACAGAGGAGAACAGAGCCGAATAAACCCGGACACAGAGAGAAATGAATGCAGCCAGGGGGACACAGCAGGATCGAAGATAGTAGGCCAGTGCAGGACTAGAAAGGAAGCCTCATTCCTGCCCAGAGAGGCGGGGCTCTTCAGGTGGAGTATTGAGCAGGGGGAATTTCAGAACGTGGTTGCACGGGGAGCGAATGGAACAGCTCCTGGATGTCAAGCACCAACTTGGAGGGTGGGGAAGGTAGATGCTCAATAAATGCGTAACTGAGCCAAAGGATGCTTCTTACCCCACCCCCCAATATCCCCCCATCACCCCCTACCCCTCTCCTACCTTGAAGAGGCAGCTGGGCTGTGGCCACTGGAGAGAAGCCTGTGTGATACTGAGAGATTGGGAGATTTTTTTTTTTGAGAGATCTCTGCAGGTGCCTGGCATAGATAGAATGTGATCAATAAATGCTTGCCAATGATTATTTGAGTTCTGAAACTCAGAAACATATAATGTAGCGTTAAAAGGGGATTATGCTAGTTCCTTCATTTTATCATGTGAAAATCACTTTCATAGAAGTAAAGTGATTTGCCCAAGGCCATGCAGGCACTGAGAAGCTGGGGATCACAGCTCAGCTCTCCCAGATGTGGGGTCACTGCTCATTCTCTGGGCAAACCTGCTGCAATTCACAGGGCCTGTTTCTCACTGCAGGAGCCCCAGCTCACCTCCTCCCTCATTCAGGCTAAGATGACTTCAACATGGTCTTTCCTTTCCCGAGTTCTCTTCCAACCTGGGTAACATGGTTGCTTTTGCCTTGTTTCCACCCCTCTGGCTCTAACCACACATCTTTCAAAGCTAAAGATACTTTAGCAATGAGCCGACATTCCTCCCTTCACAGAGCAGAAGCCTCCGTCAAGGTCAGCTCTTGGTATTACTATTGTCATTATCAATATTATTATTTGGTCACCAACTCCTGGCTAGGCCCAAGCAGTGACAGGCTAACAGCTAAGCTGCCCCCTCCGCCCCGGAACCTGGAGCAGACCTGGCCCTCTGTCCCTTATCAGAGCCTGCAGGCCTCCTGAAGCCTCCCCCAGCGGCACGAGAAGAAAATAAATGAGCGGATGCCGGCCTGAGCTGCGTGGTCAAGTCTCAGGTGGGAAAGTCTGAAGGAAGGTGATAGGAGCCCCTGGGCTCGGAGAGCAAACAGCTCAGAGGCTATCGGAGAATCGCTCCCTGCCCTGCCCATGGACAGAACCCCCACCGGTGATCTGCTACCCAAGGTGAGCCAGGGCTCCTCAAACTGGCATTTTATTGCTGATTTTAAAACACTGCTGGTCATCACCAATTCTGTTTTATATCCTCTAATTATTTTAAATTGTGTGCTCTGGGCCCTGAGGCAATTTGAACACCAAGGGCAGCACTTTCTGAAATGAATAGATAATGAGCTGTTTTCACTTCCCTCTGGGGTGGAGGGGCCACGTGGACCAAGACACAGCACAGGCTTCTGCGGGTTTGGGGGCAGGGCCCGGCTCCTGCCAGGACCCTCCTTGCCTGTTCCCCCTGCAGTGCTGCACTGGGCTTCTGAGCGCCAGCAGGGGCCAGGTAAGCCCGGCAGAGCCACCTTGAGAGATGAAAGCCAGACAAAAAGTCCCAGAGAGCCACCAGACATTTGCTTGGTGGTCTGTGGTTGAATTAACAACTTTCCTTCCCTGGAAAACTCTGCCTAGTAATATGGCTTCAGGAAAATGAAGGTCCTGGTCCATCTTAGAAACGGAGCCCTGCCCTAGCTGGTTTGACTCAGCAGTTAGAGCGTCGGCCTGCGGTCCAGAGAGACCTGGGTTCGGTTCCCATAAGGGCATGTACCTTGGTTGCAGTTTGGTTGCAGTTTGTCCCCGGTCCTGGTTGGGTCATACGGGTGGCAACCACTCGATGTGTCCCTTTCACGTCGATGTCTCTCTCTCTCTCTCTCTCTCCCTCCCACTCTATCTGAACAAAAAACGAAAAAATGTCCTCGGGTGAGGATAAAAAAAAAGAAAAGAAAGGGAGCCCTACTCTTGCTGAGAAACACAGCAGTAAATGATAAAGGGAAAGAGAAACCTATTTCCTGACTCATTAAAGCAAGAGAGTGTTTAATAAATACTATTTGATGATAAAGTTCTGACAAGGTCACTCACTTAATAACCACAATTCTGACTCTGTTTTCTATTCCACTTAAGAATCTGCATGAGCCCCAGTTCCAGCTGCAACTAATAGAGGTCATGTTGTCAGAAGGCTGCCTGAACTGGGTTCTGTGCACAGGAGGGCAACTGCCTCGTGGAGCCCCAAGAAACCACAGGCATTTCAGTCTAAGTCACACAACATCATTTCAGTCCAATTCCACTTCCCATAGGGGCCTGGCAGACTTCCTGCCCCCCCGTCACTTTTTCCACCACCTGAATAACACTCTCTTACTGTTTTATCATATTAGAAAAGCTATATGCATGTAGTAAATCCTCACTAATGTTGTCAGTAGGTTCTGTGCGCTGTAAGGGGAAGGACACATGAGGAAACCAATGTTGCCATAGGCTAATTGATATAAATAAGAGTTAAGTTCCTATGGCATCTCAACCACATTATAATGAAGTGATGTTGAAGAAAATAATGGTATTTGAGGACCTGCTGTACTTATTCCAGGCAACTCAAATAAAAGCATAGAATCCTTACAGCCTACCCAACCTTGTGGCAAATCCTCACATTCTTTTCAGGGTATACATGATTACTATGCATAAAAATGTTAAGTGGGATCATATTTTTTCATAACATATACTGGGAATATCTCTCTATGCCTCTGATACTCTTCTATAGCATCCATTTTAAGAAAATTAAGTTTTTTAATTATCTGGATGTACTATAAATTATCTACCCAGTCCCCTATTGTTCAACAGTGAGACTGTTTACTGATACTATTGTGGTATTCTCTGGAGACATTTAAAAGCAAAAGAATTCACCCCTGGATGATGGGATTACAGCAGGGAGGTGTAATGGTCAGAACCTGGGGCACAGCACAGAAAAGGGACTAGAAGAGAGAAGAGCTGCTCGCAGAAAAATAGCGTTTCTGTCTGACATCATGTAGACCACAGCTGGAGTCCTGGAGTTTTTCTGGCCTCTGCTTCCAGCTCAGTGAAGTTTTTGCCATTTGAATGACAGAAAGAGGCCTTTATCCATCTGGGACCTGCTGTTTCTGTGTGTAGTGATGGGCGGGTCACTAATTCCATGAGGTTTGATTGTGTACATTTTAGTTAATTAACTAGATAATAAATTACCCAAAACTTACTGGCTTAAATCAAACATCTTAATTGCTTGTCATTCTGTGGGTCAGCAGTTTGGGAGGTTATTCTCTTCTATATGCCATTGGCTGGGGTTAGTCACGACTTCAATTACCTGGTGGCTGAGCAGGTAGATCTAAGAAAATCCCTCACATGCCTGGCACCTCAGTGCTTCCCCACATGGCCTCTCTCTCTCTGCAGGATAGCCTGGGCTTCCTTACAGCAGGACATCCTCAGGGTAGCCAGACTTCTGACATGGCAACTGCTTCCACGTAGGACAAAATTGGAAGATGCTGATATCTTAAGGCCCAGCCCTGCGAAGTTACACTGTGTTACTTCCAGGGCATTCTGCTCGTCAAAGCCAGCCTCGGGGTCAGTCTAGATTCAAAGAATGAGGAGAGGCTCTACCTGTTAATGGAAGAGAGGCAAAGAATTCACAGTCATCTTTAGTCTACCGCAGTAAATCACAAACAGGTTATAGTGTTCTTCTGTAACGAAGAAACATGGCCCTGGCCAGTTTGGCTCAGAGGTTAGAGCATCGGCCTGCAGACTGAAGGGTCGCAGGTTTGATTCCAGTCAAGAGCAGGTACCAGGGTTGCAGGTTCGATCCCTGGCCCAGGTCAGGGTCATGCAGGAGGTCTCTCTCTCTCTCTCTCTCTTTCTCCTTCCCTCCTTCTCTCTTCTTCCCTCCCTTCCATTCTCTCTGAGATCAATGGAGAAAAATATCTTCAGGTGAGGATTAACAACAACAAAAGAAGAAGAAAGGAACATTATTGTGTTGCAAACCACTAAGTCCCAAGTGTGGACTCAACCAGCTAGAAGAGTTTGCCCCACCCAGTTCAGAGCAATAAACAAAAGAGAACATTACCGGGGTGGCATGTGGGAAATGGAGTCCCTGACAGTAGACAACAGTGACACTCATCCTGACCCGCAGTCCCCACCCCAGTGCTGGAGAAGGGTGCTGGGACCTGGACATCTCCACCCAACTCCTCCCTCTCCTGGGGAGCTTCATTGCTCCTGGGCTCTGGCAAGGCACTTGCTTCTCCTTTTGCAGATTCCTCAATGACCTTAAATACAGTCATTCTTTCCCAAGCCTGGGTTACATGAGTGCTGAGATCTTTGTGAGAATCTTTTTGCTGAAATTATAAATATTGGCTCTGAAAAATGCATTGATACACTGCCTCCGACTGGCAAAAGAAAAGAAGATGTAGGGTATCCCATAAAAATAATGAATTTCTCAGGTAAGAGTTATATCTTTCCACAGGGAGCCTTGAATACAACTGAAATCCCTTTCATGTCCTCGGGCTCTAGGGGCCTGAGTGAACGGGTCTGAGGGGAGGATCCTGGCGGTTCGGCACAGTTATTGTGACGACACAGGGACTCTCTTGGTCACACCCTCTCCCATCAGAAAGCTACTTATATTGTTTCTTCCAGGCTTGCCCAGGTACCAGTTATGGTCTAAATTAAAGTCAGTCAGTCATTGCCAGATTCCCACTTGATTGATAAAATATGCTGCTGCCTGATATATAGTATTTGTGAAATGAATCCATTTGGGGGGTGGTATGGGGACAAATGAGCCACACGATGGGCCGAAAGTTGGATCCTCTATAATCTCTACACAGCCATGGAGGTCCACCTTCTCCACAAAAGCATACAGACTGTGGCCTCTTTTTTTTTTAAAAAGGGCTTAGACTTAATCTTTATTTTCCCTCTACGCTGACCCGATTAGGGCTGACCAGCTCTTAAATATTTGAAGTTCCTTTTTCACAGCCCAGCCTGAAGCCTTGTGCCTGTTTCATTTGTACAACTCATGTCTGGCTGATGTGGGTAGATGGAAACATATCATCTTTTCAGAACTGAAGATGAGTCCATTGTTTCCCTTCCTTCCGCCTCTCTCCAACCATGAGGCAGTAATCTAAGACCTGGGTGTGGGCAGCCCCCCAATCCCTTAGGCCTCTCTTAGTATTGTCCCCACTGATAAGGAATCAAGACATTATTTCATTGATCAGGATCGTTTATAAATAACAGAACCACTTTCTGCTCCACTACAGCTCATGAAACTGAGGTGAGTGAATTAAACAAA